TAATTGGGATGGGAGTGTCAGAGACAGTGCGATTGGCACAGGACAGAGCGGAGTTTAGGGCTGTTGTACATAGGGTCGCTATGAGTCGCAGGCGACTCGACGGCACATAACAACAACAACAGCAACAACAACAACACATAGGTATATGGTTTTCACTATTTAATTTTTCGGTTTGTTTTTATTTTATTATGAAAATTATCTTTGGGTGCCATTGAAACACTTCTGATTCACAGCAATCCTACACACAACAAAACAAAACCCTGCTCTTTCCTGCACTGTCTTCACAACCATGGTTATGTTTGAGCCCGCTGTATCCAGTCCATTTCATTGAGGGTCTTCTCTTTTGTTGAGTCTCTCATTTTACCAACCATTATGTCCACCTCCAAGGACTAGCCGTCTTGGTAATGTCTCCAACGTACATGAGAGGAAGTCTTGCCATCCTTGCTTCTAAGGAGCATTCTGGGTGCCCTTGTTCCACTTGAATATAATATGAAAAAAAGACTGAAGTTAATAACACTTTATTTCACTTGTATCCTCAATAAATATCATGGAAATAGCATTGAAGAAATCAATAATAAATTGATATGAGAAAAGGACCTCTTGAATGTGCTAAAGAGCAAGGATGTCACTGTAAGGACTAAAGTATACCTGACCCACGTCACGGTATTTCTTCCCAATTCCCTCACATGCTGTGTGAAAGTTGGACAATGAGTATGAAAGATTGAAGAATTAATGCCTTTAGAGTGTTATATTGGTGAAGCACATAGAATATACCATGGACGGCCAAAAGAGCAAATGGATCTGTTTTGGAGGAAGTACAGCCAGAAAGTTTCTCTTTTTTCTTTTTTTTAAATTTTTATTGTATTGTTTTTAAGTGTACCGTCAAATCAGATCTGACTGTTACAGGAGGAGATTGCCCCCTCCTTCTCCAGCAGAGCTTCTGGTGGATTTGAACCGCGTACCTCTGGGATTGCAGTGCAGTGTCTTGCTACTAGGCCACCAGAGCTCCCTCAGAAAGTTTCTTAGAGGTGAGGATGATGGGACTTCATCTCATACACTCTGAGCATGTTATCAGGCAGGGTCATTCCTGGAGAAAGACATCACATTTGCTAGAGGGTCAGCAAGAAAGAGAAAGACTATGGAAGAGACAGACTGACACAGTGGCTACCATGATGGACGTAAGCACAGCAGAGATTGTGAGGAGGGGGTGGGTCAGACAATGTTTGCGCTAGTGAACATGGGTGCTATGAGCAGGACACACCGATGAAGGCGCCTGACCACAACAATCAGGACAAACCTGCCTTGGAAGAAGTGCAGCAATGATGAAAATTTTTGTTGTTGTTATGTGATGTCGAGTTGCCTGCAACTCATAGTGACCTTTTGAACAACAGCCCTAAACCCTGCTCTAGCCCTTGCCAATCTTATTGTCTCCTACAGACCTATCCCCTTTACCCCAGTGAATGAATCAATCCATCTCTTCGAGGGTCATCCTCTCCTGTGCTGTCCCTCTATCCTCCCAAGCATGATGTCCCTCTCCAAAGACTGATCCCACCTTGCAACATGTCCAAAAAATATGCACAATAAAATGCTGGAAAATATATGTGTATAGAAATCTCTAAAAAATGGGCATAGGGGTAGGGTTGGGAACTTTTCCAGTTGTAGTGTGTGTGTGTGTGTGTGTGTGTGTGTGTGTGTGTGTGTGACAGGTGCATTGTGGTATAGTCTGTAGGGAGTTGCCCTGCTAACCCAAAGGTAGTTCCTTTCACTGTTCAAATCCACCAGTGGCTCCTTGAGAGAAAGACAGTCATTTTCTCTCTGATTTACAGCCTCTAAAAGCCTGCCAGAGGCTCAGCTATCAGTTGGTTCTGAGTTGAGAGCAATGAATTTGAAATTTTAAATTATATTGCTCACACTCACACACACACACACACACACACACACACACACACACTGCTTAGTGGTAAGGAGTTACGTTATTCTGCAGAAGAAATATGATCAGTCTCCTGTGTGATTTACTGCCTCTGAGAACTGCTGAACGACCAGGCCTCTGAGAACTGCTAAACGATCAGCTATGAGTTGGTTCCAACTCAGAAGTCCACTACAACTCACTGTTAGATGTTGTTGAATGACTGATCATTGACCCTCCAGCAGATTTTGAGAGACTGCATATTGCACTGGAGGAGACTGCTTGTCTTTTGCCCTCGGAGCAGCTGGTGGATTTGAACTGCCTACCTTGGGAGTGGCAGCACAACTCCTTACCCTCTAGGTCACCAGAGCTCTCTCTTAATTGTCTAGTAATTCATATTGTGGCATGGTAGTTAATTACAAATTAGTTATAATGGCTGTATAATAAAATGAGAGACTATAGCATAACATTCCATGAAAAACCCAAGATATATGTTTTAAATTTGTATACTATATAATGGATGGAAGGTCAGAGAAGGAGAGGAAGACCCCCCAGTAGAGACACAGTGATATCAGTAATGAGCTCTAATGTGTCAGAGATGATAAGGATGACATAGGATAGAGTAGGGTTAAGGCCAGATGTTCATAGGGTTGCTATGAGTCGTACTCAACTTGATGGCACCTAACAACAACAGTATATAAAAATAACGATAGTAAATAGTACAATGGTTTTGCATAGATCACATATTATGTGACGCTATTTTTATGAGAAGTTCAGAACGGACAAGTTTACAAAGAAAAGCATTTTAGTGCTTGTTTGGAGTTGAAGGAAGGAGAGAGTTGGAGAGGAGAGTGAAAGGAAAAGGGAGGGGACAGAAAAAAGTGGCGGTGTGAGTGTTAATGCAAAGGGGAGGTTGTTTTGGCCTAATGAAAATGTTCTAAAAGTAGTGACATTGGATAAATTTTGTAATTTTTCTAGTAACCACTTAATTTTACATTTAAAGATGAATGCTATTGTATATAAATTATATTTCAATAAAGTTGGTACATAAAGATATTATTAGAGAGGAAGATAGAAGCAATAGCTTTTGCTCCCTTTGCAAGTTTTCTGTGCCTCTAAATGATTCCAAATTTAAAAGCTAACTTCATACACAATTTGACGGGTGGAGGGAGGGATTGGTAAAGGAAAGGCGGAAAGGTCTCACGTGAAAAACAATGTATATTAACTTTACAATCTTTATGTAAACCAGTATAAATTTTTAAAAATTTTTAATTTTTTAAAAAATTTTTCTTGCCTGTGGCAAGAAGCTGCACTGCAATCCCAAAGGCACACAGTTCAAATTCACCAGATGCCTCCTGTGCTAGTCAGATCCGATTTGACAGCATATAGCAAGTAATTAAAAAGAAAAAAATTTTAAAAAAGCTAGCTTCACATCTAGTAGGATGGCTTTTAATAAAAAAAGACAGAAAATAAATATTGGGGATGATGTGAAGAAATCTGAATCCTCATATCCAGATTAAATGTCAATGTAAAGACTGTGAACTGATTAATGCAGTTCTAGTATAACAGGCTTTGCTTGTACGCGGAGAAAAGAAACTAGAAATAAACACTGAAAAGACAGGTCTCGATTTCACAGAGCCATAGAAGTGTAAATAGCCACTATTACAACTACTCCTCTTATCTTTTTATAGCCTGTGGTTTTTACATTTGAGGTTTAATATTTTCCTCAATATTATGTTCAATATTATGAAGAATACCTGAAG